TCGGGCCTGCCAGGGTAGGGAGGGGGGCGTTGGGGTCTGGCTGCACTCAGGCCTGCCAGGGTAGGGATGGGGGCGTTGGGGTCTGGCTGCACTCAGGCCTGCCCACCCTTGTCTTCTGCCGTACCCTGCATTAGTACTGACGGTCACCCTGCTCATCTCAGTGCCCTGGGGCTCATCCTGCCTCCTGGCCCTTAGTGGCCACTGATCTACATCCCCTCCACAGACCCTGTAACCCACTTCTGCAAGTCGATCTCAGATTCTGCAGGTGAGCAAGCTCATCTGTGCCTGGCTTTCCCTTGTGGCATGATGTCCCCAGGTCCATCATGCTGCCCAGTGACAGGGCAGCGCAGTGTCCCCTGGTATGCACCCCACTGTCTTACCCACTCATCTGTGGATAGACAGTGGGGTTCAGTCCATATCTAGGCCATTGTCAGCAATGTGGTGGTGACAGTTTAAAATCATGTTTTGCTGCTGTCCTTCAGCACAGTGTGGACAGGCAGCCCCCTGGGGTGTCAGAGAGTGTGAGGTGGTAACAGGAGTCAGGCACACTCTCCACAGGCACCAGCCTGACTTTGCCACCCACTAGTCTCTCTCTCGTTTGCAAACAGCCTGGATGAGGAAAACCAGACTGGCCACTCTGAAGTGAAAAATATTGCATCAATTAAAAATGATGATCTTTGGGTGGCACCTGAGGCTCAAAGGAGTAGGGCGCTGGCCCCACATGCTACAGGTGGCAAGTGTAAGCCCAGCCCCAGCCAAAAGCTGCAATAAATAAATAAATAAGTAAGTAAATAAAAAAGAATTTTAAAAAAATTATGATCTTTAAAAAAAAAAAAAAAACCTCAATGTAGTAGAATTTCCAGTTAAAGTGTTACTGGGGTCCTTTTCATAAAATTTTCACCCAGGCTGATTTCTTCAAGTGTTTTCCCTATACTTTCTTCTAGTATTTTTATAGTTTCATGTCTTAAGTTTAAATCTTTAATCCAGTAAGAGTCAATCTTTCTTAGTGGTGAAAGGTGTGGATCCAGTTTCAGTCTTCTGCAGGTTGACACCTAGTTCAGCCTGGGGAAAAATTTTATGAAGAGGACCCCCTAGGCAATTGAAGCAACATCAAAAATACACTACTGGGACCTTATCAAATTAAAAAACTTTTGCACAGCCAAGAACACAGAAAGTAAAGCAAGTAGACAGCCCTCAGAATGGGAGAAGATATTTGCTGGATATGCCTCCGACAAAGGTTTAATAACCAGAATCCACAGAGAACTCAAACGTATTAGCTATAAGAGAACAAGTGATCCCCTCTCAGGGTGGGCAAGGGACTTGAAGAGAAACTTCTCTGAAGAAGACAGGCACATGGCCTACAAACATGAAAAAATGCTCACCATCCTTAATCATCAGAGAAATGCAAATCAAAACTACTTTGAGATATCATCT